TAATAATAATAATAATAATAATAATAATAATAATAATAATAATAATAATAATAATAATAGATAATAATAATAATAATAATAATAATAATAATAATAATAATAACAATAATAATAATAATAATAGTAGTAGTAATAATAATAATAATAAAACATTAAAAGCCTAATGTATTCTTCTATTTTGTTATTTGTCATTTGAAATACTCTAATATTTGCATATTTAATTTTTCTCTATTTATCAATTTTAATAATTGTAAATTCAATTCTCATCTTTTTTAGCTCAAATCAGTTAATTAACAGTAATTATAAGTAAAAAGTACAGGTGAAATGCTTTAATTTTTAATAAATACGATATTTATCAAAGGTTGGAGCACTATTCCTTCATTTATGTGCTAATTTTTGCAGAATCAACGTAAGAAAAGCGAAAAAAGAGAACAATCAAATACATTAACAAATCCAATCAAAAATCGTTCTGCAGGACGAATAATAAATTCGTCTTCAAATTATCCATCAAAGTAAATAAGTCATTTATCAATCCATAATTTTGTATTTTTCGTTTTTAAATTTTTCTATTCAAAACTTAACCATTTAAAGTGATTTTTAGGATAATGAGATTAAAGCAAAATTGCTGTTTACGGATCTTTTCTGATAAAACCGCTGGTAGCTCAATGGATGAAAGTGGCGGTGATCTTCAACAAAATGCTCTAGATGAAGTATCGGTAGCTAGCAGTAATTACATCCGATATTACTGCGCGCAAAATCGTTTGAAACGATCGCCACCAGCAAGCTTGAATAATCAGGTTGATTAATATTATCAGTCTTTATCATGATAACCATGCTCTTTTTCACATCATTTTCTGAAATTACCATACTCATATATTGATATTATTAATGTTTATCAAGATAATCATGCACATATTTCATCATTATTTTTGCTTCAAATTTCTTTTTATATTGAAATTCACCGATCACAATTCATGTTTTATTTCCTACTATATTATCATTTTTTATTACCATAAATATGATTTATTCAATACGCTAATTGAAAAACCTGTTAATTAATAACTGTAAATATGAATTTTTTATTTCGTTGCTATTTTATTACTATTCTGTATTTATTTCGGTATTATTTCTCCGACAAAGATAGATGAAGATTCAAAAAATATTCGTTTGATATTTGAAATGAAATATTTCAGGAAAATAATAGTTTACTGCTGGAAACAATATCATCAGCAGGCAATCAAATTGCTCGCAAAGATAAATCGTCCACATATACTGTTTTAATTGAATTAAAAGATAATGAGCAAGGACAATCACATATACGTCTTTCATCATGCGACTCAGATATTTCCAAGTATATTTTTACTTATTCTTAATTTTCTTTCTTTTTTTAAATTGGTGGAAACTGGTATCATTTATTTAATTTTTTCTTTCAAATTATTGATTTTTTTGTTAATTTATTATTTACCAGTTTATGAACAAAATTATAATTGTCTATTAACAACTATTTATCCAAGTTTATTCTCTTATCATTTGTATAAGATGTTAATGAAAAGGAATCAATAATTTGCAATTTCCCATCGTTTTTTTGCTTTCGAATTGTTGAAATTTATTAGCAAATAGAAGCGAAACTTTTCTTTATTGTTTTTTTTTCTTTTTCTTTTTTAAATTAATAAAAGCAATTTGTTTCATGTAACATGTAAAAACAGTGGTTTAATCATTTTTTGATTAAGCCATAGTTTATCATTATTATTACTTACCCAAGTTTACAATCAAATTCAAATTAATCATTTTCTGTTAAAGACCATCACGCTCCGTATCGGACAGAATAGAAGATGTTCGTAAAAATATGATTTCACAGCAATTTTCAAACGGAAATGTTATAGCCAAGTAAGAAAGTTTTTTATGTTTCAATGACTTCGTTTTAAATTCAAAATAGAAAATTGTTTGATGACAATACTTAAATCTCTTCTTTTTTTGCTATGTTCAAAAAAATAGCATGGATAAAAATTGTCATTGTTATAGGGTTTTCTATTAATTAAAGATTATACTTATTTCAATCCTTTTACCTATTTATATATTTACATTAGGATTTTGCCTTTACTTATACCTAAATCTTAGCTTTTGTTTGTTTTGAATATTCATATGATCAAACCTTAGGTCATCATTATTTTTAACATTTAATTTTAACTTTTTAAAAGATTTCCGTAACTTGAAATTCAATATTAAAAAATAATATTTGAAATTTGAAAAAAGTAATCAATATAAAGTGACCATCTTCAGCATTTCACTTTTTTTTCAACCTTTTCTTTTATCCGCTATTGTTAATTTTCATTTCTATCAGTTATTGATTGAATAATTAGTTAGTTAATTGTTCTGTTTACTATGGATGTGACAAAAATTATCCAATTTGTTTTTTTTTTTTTTCCTCGGTTATACTTTACATTTCTTTTCAAGTAAAAAATTTCAGCAAATTATTTAATGAAGAACGAAAAAGTGAGAAGGAACGCCGAAAAAATGAAAGAAAACAAGAAAGTAAAGCAGCCAAAACACTTTCTGCCATTTTGTTAGCATTCATCATTACTTGGACGCCTTACAATGGTAAATATTGTTCTTTTTTAATAAATTACATATTTCATATTTACAAAAAGAGGAAAAAAAATGAAAGAGATAAATTGGCGCTTCATATGACTGAATTTATTTCCAGAAATGTATACTTCGTCGATTATTGATCCAACTCTCGGATTCGTGCTAAATGTTCAAATTTTAGAACGATAAATTAAATTAGCTGCAAAATTTACAGAATTAGATCCATTTAGTTTAAATCAATACCGGAATCACGTGCTTAATCATCATTAATTGATCCAATTCTTGAATTTGCGCTGAATGTTTAAATTCTACAATAAATAAAATTAACCTCAAAGGTTTGCTTTGTAAGGTCATTTCAGATTATCAAATTTTTATTCCTCAAACTTAATTTTGTTTTTGTTCTACCATTTACTGTTGTGTAAACAAACTTTTTTCGGTCACTTAATTTTTTGAGAAAAAAAAAATAGAAAAAGTGTCACAAATGCCAAATTGATTTATTCTATTTTCAATATCGAACTAAACACACCCTAATATTTTTATTTAAATTCATCTCTTCGCTTGCTTCATGTACTATTCGAAAAACTGCAAAATGAACAATGAAATAAATCGAATTACAGTCATATCGAAACGAGTACTTAAAATAATATTTTATTTCTCATTAAATTTTACTGCAATTCCCAAAATTATGTGTTTCTTTCTTTTCTTTTTAAATCTCTCAACGATTTTCTTGAAATTCTTTAATGAATTCTATTGTTAACAGATTTTCGTAGATAATATATGTATACATGAAATATCAAAATTGTCAACGAAATTTGCTTTATTTGATTTCAAAATAAGTCAATTGATTTTTTTGTGTAGCATGCATAGAATTTGTAAATTCCTTTTTGTAATTCTCAAATTTATCAATAAAATTTTTTTCCAAAAATTATTTGCATATATGAAATTGTTACGCGCAAAATTAACCCAATGTTTTAGAAAAAGCAGTCGATAGGAATTATATATATATATATATATAT